GCTTACAGCTTCTGAATTATTTTTCAAACATAGCTATGGTTATAAACATGGCAGTAAGTATGTTTGGCTCATTTGCTGATTTTGGTTGAGTGACAAGAAAAGAAGATTTACCTTCTCACCACTGGATCCGCCTAAGCAGTCAGTTTAGACCAGTGAGCTTGAGGACCCAGAAATTGGCAGCATCTGGTAACCTGGACAGCAGAGTTAAGGCATGTGATTCACCCAAAAATCCACCCTAGCTCTGCCTGTCAGCTCCCAATAAGCTGATTAACTGAACAACTGGATGAAGTTTCTAGTTGGAGGAGGGAGTGGTGGTGTGTTAGCTCACCCTCACACTTTGATGATTTACTACTGCACCACAAGTGCACCCTTGATAATGTCCCAACTTTGAGCTAGGAGGTTGTGGTTAAAGTCCCACATGTACCAATATCTCTGAACAGGAGGATTTGAAAATATCTGTAAGATTCATTAGAAAATTGCATCCATAGTTTTCTCACTCTAAAGCAAGATTGCCACCACAGAAGAGAATTCTCTGATGTTACAGGCATAAGTGTTGGACGAAAGTGACGGCATCAGACAAAATTATCCTGTTTCTGGGTGCCTTAGTTATGACAAAATCTCTACTAATAAGTAATGCAAATTTAATTAATGAAACTAAGCATGTAGATGTAACTCAAAACATATCCTTTCAGTTATTTAATGGTAGCTAAAGAAAAACATTTTTGAGGTTTACAGTTTCAGCAAAAGTGATTTCTGCAAATAAGTCAAAACATAAGTGCAAAACAAATCAATATCCACAAACTTCCATAGTAAAAATGCACAATGATTTTAAAATGCACAATAATTTTAAAATACAATACAGCATCCCTCGTTTTAGTTGGAAATATGTAAAGGAAACTCACCTTACATGTTACAGTTCCATACTCCTGCCATACATCAATGACATCATTCTTGTCATACTGCATAGATCTAATCTGTTCAGTGACACAGACATTAACCTGTGGTTTTCCTTTGTATATACCAGGCTTCCAAGCTGGTTGCTTTTGTAACTGTGCAGAAGATATTGGAGTCTGAGGTACAAGGCTGCCAGACAGGGTCTGCATCAATCCAAAGTCAGTGTCTGTTGGAGTCCCCAATGGACAAGCATGCATTAACATAGCAGAGATCTGCGTCAATTTGGTAGTCATTTCTGGTTCACTTCTTTGTGTCATGTTTAAAAAGGTCATTAACCCTGACAGTAGAGCAAATGCAGGAGAAATTCCACGTAGAGAAATTAGTGGTGGGCGGGGAGTCAAAGACTGTTCAACTAAAGGTAGACAAGCATAGAGGATAGCATTTTGTGTCATTACAAGGACAGGCCACAGAAAACCATCTCCAACTGCAATTTCATAAGCAGGTGTCCTATTTATTCTGCAACAGCTATCTCTGCGCTCCACAAAGTTCTTATCCAGTTCAGTCATACCGAGCTCAGTTAACAATGCATTTAGGAAGATCTTGTCTTCTGGTACCTCTGTATAGCTTTTCCCATTGAAATTTCTGGCTCTTTTTTCAACAGTTGGATATCGTCTAGAAAAAAGGCATATTATTCCTTTTGTAAATTAATCAATCCATACTATGTGTTATAATCAGTTTATTTAAAGCAGTGTCTTGTGCGCCAGATGAAATTATACAAAATGCAAATAATAGATACAATTTAATAGTTTTTTAAAATTTTTAACAGGGATCTAAGATGCAACTTTTTAATGCAGAGGTTAGTGTGTATATGGAATGAGGTTCCAGAGGAAGTGGTGGAGGTGGGTACATGAATAGCAAGAGTTTAGAGGGATATGGTCAAATGGGACTAGATTAATTTAGGATGTCTGGTTGGCATGCACAAATTGGACTGAAGGGTGTGTTTCCATGTTGTACAACTCTATGACTATTTTATAAATGCGATAAAAAGCTTGTAAATCAAATTTGATTTCTTTTTCTGTATTTATTTCCCACCCCCCCATCTGGAACACAGTAACTAACAGATTTAAAACAACACACCATGGAAAATGTCCTCTATTAGCTTGAAATGAACAGTATTGTGACTGTGTAAGCAGCAACCTTATTTAAATGTCATAAGATATTGTTTTGTGAACAGTGAACACTTACCCTGCCTTACATTTGAAAATGGTAACAATGTTTAAATTTACTTTATGAAGAACTGACAAAGGAATTTGCATTTATATATCACCTAATGGCTCCTACAAATGCACCACAACAGACCATTTCTAAAAAATGTATTCATGTTGTTAAGCTAATGTATCAACCATTTTCCACACAGCAAGATTCCCAAAACAGCAATGAGATGAAGTTTAATCAATCGCTTTTTGGTTGTTAGTTGATAAGAATTTTGGGCATGACATCCAGTTCTTTTCTGAACAGTTTTGTTCAATACTCCCTTGACATTGCCTAAGGTATCATTCAAAGTATACCAATACAACAACTCCCCAGAACTGTACTCCAGAACTTGTCACCATTATGTACTCAGAAATTATACATCTACAACATTCTGATAAAAGAGATGACAGGTGTACCATCTAAGCCAACTGCCATGTGAAGTGTTTTGGGATATCCTGAACTCAAGAAAGGTCCTGCAATAATGTAAACTATTTTCTTCTTTGCCAACTGAATCATAGATGGTACAGCACAGGGGACTATCTGGCTGACTGAATCTCTTTCAGTTAGCACCATTCCCACACTCTGTTCCACATCTCTGAAATTCTTTCTCCTTCAAGTACTGATGCAGTTACTTTTGAACATTACCACTGAATCTGTATCCACTATCCTACCAAGCAGTCCATTCCAAATCCTAACAACTCATTCCATGAAAACAAAATTCTTCAAATTGCCTTTTTTTTATTTTTAAATCTGTGCCCTTATGTCACTAAATCCTCAACCACTCAAAGGTTTTCTTTTCATTTCCTCCAATTTAAATCCTGTATCAAGTCTCTTAAGCCTTATGTGCTCTCAAAGGGCCCTCTTGTGGTACAATGGAAGTGTCCTTACCCCTGGACCGGGAAGCCCAGGTTCAAGTCCTACCTGCTCCACAGGTGTGTAACAACATCTCTGAACAGGTCGATTAGGAAAAATAGTTCAATAAAAAAAGAGAATGTGTGCCCTCAGAAGAAATAACCCAGTCTCTACACACTTTCCACATAACTGTGATCCCATATTCCTGAAACTATTCTACCATATTTCTTCTGTACCATCTCCAAAGTTATCACATCTTTCCTGAAGTTTAATGCCCACAATGGGACACAAGGCTCAAGCTTGGGTTCTGCTTGTTTATAGGTTTAGCATAACTTTCTAGCTTTTCTGTTCTACGCATCTATTTAAGCTAAGGATCACATTTGCTTTATGAACTTGTTCATCCATTCAAAGTTCAGCACTTTGTTCACCATTCTGCCAACTTCAAATATGAACTCCGTTTAGAATTCCATCAGGTGGCATACATATTTTTCCACACTATTCCAATCAAATTCTCAACAACTCAGACTTCCCTACTTTGAACATCATCTGTCACACGCTCATCCATTCCCCGGTCAATAATCTCTTGAAATCTGTTACTTTCTTGCTTCGGGTTAACAATTGTTCTAAGTTTCGTGCTATTTGAAAATTTCTGAAGTGTCCTCTATTCCCACGTCCAAGCCCGTAATGCATATCAAAAACAGCAGCGACCCTAGTAGTAATCTTGAGGAACTTCTCTCTAGAATCGAAATAAAAACAGCTATTAACTACAACATTTTCTGATCTTCAGCAGACATTGTATTTTTGCTGCTACTTCCCCTTTTATCACATGGGCTTCAAAATAGTTAACAAATACCTTTTTAAAAACTATGTACTAAAGCTCAACTGTACTGTTCAGTATTATAAGCCTACACTTACATTTTAACCACCTTAAACAAATAGAACAGCATACAATGCTAAAGTTCTATTTTAAGTTACTGAAATACAAGTTTATCAGGAATAGCTTCATTATAAAAAGTATATACTGGGTCAAAGTCTATTCTAGAATATTTGTAATTTACTACTAATGATATCATCTCCAACTTCTTTACACTTGAAATAGTAAGTATGTTGAATTGCACAATAAGAACAAATATTGTACTGTTATTACTAATTACAGTATATGTATATAATGGAAAAAAAAGACTCCCATTATCCAAACTGATCTGTCATGTGAAATGTGATTTTTCAATACTTTCACCGTTTGCGTAACTTGTAGACATTACTAAGTGGGTCATATCAAAAAAAACCCGGAAGAACTGCGGACGCTGTAAATCGGGAACAAAAACAGAAGTTGCTGGAAGAGCTCAGCAGGTCCGGCACCATCTGTGAAGAAAAAAATCAGAGTTAACGTTTCGGGTTCGGTGACCCTTCTTCAGAACGGTTAGGTCAGGAAGCTGCCAGAGGCACTCAGTACTCTAGTCATTGCTTGAGATGAAAAATCAGTGGTTAAGAAAATTCAACTAAAGTAAAACTATTTCCTGATTGGGATGCAAAATGCAACTTTCCCAGTTCCGCTTCCCCCGAGAAAATTAACATATACCCAATACTTGTTACTATTTTATCGGTGCACGACATATTTGCTTACTTGAGCAAGATAGTATGCTAAAGCAAGTTATTATATAATAATTATAAAATAATATTTGTGACTTTTGCTGCTGAGGAGTGAGTATTAGACAGAAGGGCATATCTTTTGGATCATTTGCAGTTTCAAATCGTTACCTTGACATTTTCACGGATGTTGCTCCCTTTTCGAGCCCCAGCAACCAAATCGCACGAACACTCATTTTTACCAAAACCTACACAGATTCCTGTTAAAGAAGAATAGACTGTTCCGTGGTGATCCTGACAATTTTCCACCGGGAACCCGAACCCATTAACACCTTGCAACAACAGGACCAAACAAACAGCGCCTGCGCGCTGATAACCCGCGGGGTCAGAGGGCAGCGCCTGGCTGCGCAGAAACTGCGGTTTTGGGGCTTATCTGCGCAGTTTCCGGTGGTAGGAGGATGGCGGAGGTATCGGTTGTATAGTTGAGGGAGCGGCCGACGGCATAAGCCCAACGCCCCTGGATTTCCATCACAACTCAGCAGTATCGTCCTCTGGCCCGCTCTTGAATTCTTGCTCATTATGTAGGCAGCTGGGCTGGCCCATAGCGAGCGGCTCCTGCTTTCGGACGGAATGGCTGCTACAGCGGAACTTTTCGAGGTGGGTTCCCGGCACCGACTGCTGCGGTCGGGCTGTGCTCGCTGACCCTTTGTCAATGCTCGCTCCGTGTCTGGCTGAGCTTGGGCCTCCGTGTGCTCGGTAGTTTGGGAACATGGCTGACTGTCCAGATGTGTTAGGCACGAAGATGGGTTTAATTGATTGCTGTCATTGCAAGAATGTAATGTTCTAGTTGTTGCAGTGTACAGTATTCAATGAGATGGCAAAGGACCATGCCATTCATTATACTATGGTCAATTCAACAAAGTCCGTTGTCACTATTGAGTCGCGGAAGATGTTATTCGATCCATCACGCCTAAACGAGCTCAGTTAAGATTACCTTACCTGCATCTATTCAATTCGTTTAAAATGTTATGCTTCTGTACAGTGATTAATAGTTTGACTGTTACTTCTAATAATAGGCAATGAAAGTGCATCCTTTTGACTTTTTTAGATGGTCTTGAATCTTGGTCCTGTTCACCACAATAATGAAAAATATTATTGTACTTTTAATTTCCAATAATTTTGATCATTCTGTGCAGTCCTTTTTATTCTAATGAAAAGCTTAATTTTAAATTCTTTCCTTTATAACTGTAACATCTGACTTCCAGAACTGTAGGCAGTACTCTAGGAGAATGAACAGTTTAGGCCTGTGCTCTCTCGAGATTAGAAGGATGATAGGTGATCTACACAAACAAAGTTGCTGGAATATGTGTCGCCGGACCCGAAACCTTAACTCTGTTTTCTCCTCCACAGATGCTGCCAGACCTGCTGAGCTTTTCCAGCAACTTTGTTTTTGCTCCTGATTTACAGCATCCGCAGTTCTTTTGGTTTTTATTTGATAGGTGATCTAGTTGAGGTCTATGAATGTGTGGAATTCACTACCCCAGAGTGCATTGGATGCAGGGACGCAGTACATTTAAGGAGATAAACAAATATTAATTAGTAGGTTGAAGAATTAGAGGGAGTCAGCAGGAAAATGGAGTTGAGGCCGAGGTGAGATCAGTCACGATTATATTAAATGGTGAAGCTGGCCCGAGGGGCTGCCTACTGCTGTGCCTAGTCCTTATGTTCCAATGCCACATGGACTGCAGTGGTTGAAGAAAATGGCTCGTCACCACTTTCTCAACATCAATTAGGGATGGGTAACAAATGCTGACCTAGCCAGCAATGCCCAGCTCCTGAAACTTTTAACCAATACAGTCCTGCTGTCTTAGAAACGAAACTTAACGTGCTCCCATTTTGTTGCCTTTTTCTTTGCAAGTTTTGCTGTTTTTTCTCTCTCTTTTTTTGGGTAATTGCTATTCACCCTTCTGGAAGCATCGATTGTTTTTTTTTATATGTAATATTGACCATCCCTTTGGCCTCATGTCTTCTATTTGGAGTACTGTGTATAGTTCTGGTCACCCTGTTATTGGAAGGATATTATTAAATTGGAGAGGGTTCAGAAAATATGTACCAGGGTGTCGCTGGGATTGGAGGGTTTGAGTTATAAGGAAAGGCTGAATAAGCTGGGATTTTACTCACCTGGAGTGTGGGGGATTGAGGGGTGACCTTACAGAAATTTAGAAAACTCTCAAAGGTCGCAGATAAGGTGAATATCAAAGGTCTTTTCCCGAGGGTGGGGGTGTTCAAAACTATGGGGCATTTTTTTTAAGGTGAGAGGAGAAAGATTTAAAAGGGGTCTGATGGGAAACTTCTTCACACAGAGGATGGTGCGTATACAGAATAAACTGCTAGAGGTACAGTTGCAACATTTAAAAGACATTTGGATTGGTTCATGATTAGGAAAGGTTTAGAGGGATATGTGCCAAACACAGGCAAATGGGACTACTTTAATTTGAGAAACCTGATTGGCGTCGACGATTCGACTGAAGCATCTGTTTCCGTGCTCTATGATTCTGTTCTTTCACCCTTTGTTCTTTTCCCAATGCTCCCTGTTTCCCAAGAAGTTCCCATTTAAAAGATTTGTTAAAACCATTATATTTTAAGCCATTTACCATCCTGATGGATGTGAACAGTCCAAAATTTTAAAACTGTTTCCTTCTGATGCTGCCTGACCTCGATTATTTCTAGCACTTCTAGTTGTGCCTTGACTGTCTAAATCTAGTTTATATTTAAGGCTCATCTTTGAATCTCATGTAATATTGTAGGATTCGACTTCCCTTCTCAACTTCAGATATGCTGAGCCATGTTAGACTGTTTTCCTTGGCACCATACTTGTTAACTTGGAACTGCGTTGTGTTGTCTTTGCACCTGCTAGTTGGAAACAAATATTTTACTATTTAAAACATTGCTAAATATGTAGCTGACATAATATAATGCTAGACTATCCGCTCAAATATTTCAAAAATAATTTCTTTACATATCCATGTATATTATTGTTACTACGTTGTTCAAGAATTAGCCTTAATGAAAAGGCAAATTCTGTTCGAATGCTTTTTTCTGGCTGTATTTAATATCTGAGATCTCAGGAATCTAAATTATGGCCATGTGTTTAAAACAGTTGACTTGTATACGATGCTTTCATGGAATGAAATATTAATTTTGAGGAGCATTATACACTTAACATTCAAAGTAATTGTAATTACATTGACCGTTAAGGAGGTTACTGATGAGTTAGATCACCATGTGCAGCAGTGATATGACTAATGTGAAGTGTCAGGAGCACCAAAACAAAAGACAGCAGTCTTAGATTTTTTTTTCAATGTACTTGCCTATCTAATTGAGAAGAACAAAAAACACTTTGTTACTGAATGGATATGTCTTCACCAACTTACTTAAGGAATGCAACTTTAAAATAATCATTCCCTTTTAATAGTTACACTAGTTTCCACACTTTTTAAATTTCTGCTTAGAACCCTATCTATTTCAACCTCCAGCTAAAAAATTTGCCTGGAAAAATTAAGTGCTGGTAGAAAATGTCAAAATTAATCAAGTATACAACTTGTTGCGTTTCTGAAATGTAAGCTTTGGTGGTACATGTTCAGATGAATATGTGGCTGAAGAGATGTCGCCATGGGAGGGGTGTTGTTGCCCAGATTCCTGGGGCATTGGGATTGGTTCTGGAGTAGGTGGGACCAGTACAAACTGGACAGGTTGCACCTGGCCAAGACCGTAACTGATGTTCTAGGAGAGTATTTGCTCATGGTTGGGGAGGGTTTAAACAAAAATGGCAGGGGGTGAGAACCTATACAGGGAAACAGTAGAGAGAGAAATGAGGGCCTATAATTTTCTGTTTTCTCTCTAGCTCTTTTTTTTTCAAATAGTGGGATTTCCGTAGCTACCTGCCAGTCCATAGGAACTGTTCCAGAGTCCATAGAATCTTGAAAAGAAGATCACCTATTTCTAGGGCCTTGAGTACTCTGCAATATGAATTGTCAGGCCCTGGAGATTTGTCAGCCTTTTAATCCATCAGTTTTCGCAACACGATTTCCAAGCTAATATTGATTTCCTTCAGTTTCTCACTCTTGCGCTTGCTTTTGCTCTCTCTTTCAGCCCTCTGTTCCCCAGCGCGTTTGGGATATTATTTCTATCCTTTGGGAAGATAAAGCCAAAATATGTATTTAATTGTTCTGAAGAAGGGATATTGGACTTGAAATGTTAACTGTTTTCTCTCGACAGATGCTGTCAGACCTGCTGAGCTGCTTCAGCAATTTCTGCTTTTTTTTAATGTATTTAATTGGTCTACCTTTCTTTGTTCTCCATTATAACCACCCCTGTTTCTGATTGTAAGTGTTCTATAATTGTCTTCACTCACTTTCTCTTCACATACCTGTAGAAGCTTTCACAATCAGTTTGTGTTCCCTACAAGCTGACTTTTATACTGTATTTTTCCTCTCTTAACCAACTGCTTTATCTTCCTTTGTTAAAATCTAAATTGCTCCCAGTCCTAAGGTCTGCTGCAGTTTCTGGCAAATTTGTATGCCCCTTCCTTGGATCTAATGCTATCCCTAATTTTGCTTGTTAGCCATGGTCACGTCACCTTTTCCAATTTAATTTTGTACCAGACAGGAATGAACAACTGCTAATAGTTTGCCATTAGCTGTCCACTATTATTGCTTTAAGTAATGTTCCCAAATTGATCACAGCTAGATCATGCATCAAACGATCACAGGTTCTTCTATTTACATTCAGGGCCCTAGTGTCAGTATTAACTATGTCACACTCTATCATATTATGGTCACTTTTCCCCCGAGAGGCCTCACCCAGCTAGATTGCCAATTATTTCTCATTCACTACACAATACCTAATTTAGGATGGCCTGTCTTCCAGTTGGTTTATCAATGTACTGATTCAGAAAACCATCTTTCGCACATTCCCGGTCACAGGGTGCTTCACTCGTACATCCATCAGTATTAAACATAGAACTGTACAGCACAGAAACGGGCCCTTTGGCCCTTGACATTGTGCCGAACATGATGCCAAATTAAACTGATCCTTTCTGCCTACCCTTGGTCCATATCCCTCCATTCCTTGCATATTTGTGCGCTTATCTAAAAGTCCCTTAAATGCCCCTATTGTATCTGTCTCCACCACTACCCCTGGCAGCATATTCCAGACTCCTACCACTCTCACTGTTTAAAGAAAAACTTGTCCCTCACATCTCCTTTGAACTCCCCCCACCCTTGCCTAAATTCATGTCGCCCTAGTTTTGGACATTTCATCTCTGGGGAAGAAGATCCTGATCATCAACCATATCTATGCATGTCATTATTTTATAGACGTCTATCAAGTCTCCCCTCAGTCTTTGCTGCTGCAGAGAAAACAACAGCAGATTTTCTAGCCTCTCCTTATTACTCATACCCTCTAATCCAGGTATGAACCTCTTCTGCACCCTTTCCAAAGCTTCCACATCCTTTCTGTAATGTGGCAACCAGAATTGAATGCAATACTCTAAGTGAGGCCTAACCAAAATCTTGTAAAGCTGCAACATGACATCCTCACTCATACTCAATGCCCTGACCAATAAAGGCAAGCATGCCACATGCCTTTTTTTTATC